TCCTCCTCGTCCCCGTCCTCCTCCTGCTCCTCCTGTTCCTCCTCCTCCTCCTCCTCCTCCTCCTGCTCCTGCTCTTCCTCGTCATCATCATCATCATCATCATCATCATCAGCATCATCATCATCATCATCATCATCATCATCATCATCATCATCATCATCATCATCATCATCATCATCATCATCATCATCATCATCATCATCATCATCATCATCATCATCATCATCATCATCATCATCATCATCATCATCATCATCATCATCATCATCATCATCATCAGCATCAGCATCATCATCATCATCGTCATCATCATCATCATCACCACCACCACCACCACCACCATCATCATCATCATCGTCATCATCATCATCATCGTCGTAATCAGTATCCTCATCCTCATCATCATCCTCATCCTGATCATCATCCTCATCCTTATGCTCATCCTCATCCTCATCAGCATCATCATCACCACCACCATCATCATCATCATCATCATCAGCAGCATCATCACCCCCATTATCAGCAGCAGCGTCATCATCAGCATCATCATCGTCCTCTTCATCAGCATCATCATCCTTATCATCATTAGCGTCAGGATCATCATCAGCATCATCAGCATCATCATCCCCATCATCATCAACAGCATCACCACCATCATCATCGTCATCATCACCATCATCGCCATAACACTCATGAACATCAGCAGCAGCAGCAGCATCAGCACCATCAACCACATAATCATCATCAGCATCATCAGCAGCAGCATCATCATCAGCATGATCATCGCCATCGTCATGGCCCTATTGATAGTCAGAATGATCATCGTCATCATCATCAAAATCAGCATCGCCATCACCATCACCACCATCAGAATCAACCTGATCAGCTTAATCATCATCATTATCATCATCATCAGCATCATCAGCATCGTCATCTTCGTCATCACCATCCTCATCATCATCAGCAGCATCGTCAACCTCATCCTCATCATAATCATCATCATCATGATCATCGTAAGCATCATCATCATCATCGTCATCATCGTCAGCGTCGTCATCCTAATCCTCCTCCTCCTCCTCCTCCTCTTCATCATCATCATCATCATCATCATCATCATCATCATCATCATCGTCATCGTCGGTATCATCATCAGCAGCATCATCCTCATCAGCATCATTATCGTTCTAATCAGCATTATCGTCACCCTCATACTTATAGTAATCAGCATCATCATCACCAGCATCATCATCTCAATCATCATAGTCACGATCACCATCACCATCATCATCACCATTATCATCATCATCGTCATGATCATCATGATCATCATGATCGTCCTGAGCATGATAATCATCGTCATCATCATAATCATCATCATCGTTATCATCATCATTATCATCATCGTCATTACCAGCCTCACCATGTCATTATCAACAACGTCGTCGTCATCGCCATCGCCTTCGTCATCGTCGTCTTCATCATCATCATCATCCTCATCAGGGTCATCGTTGTCATCAGCATTATCATCACAATCATCATCGTTAACATCACCATCGTCATCCTCCTCCTCATCAACATCACCACCAACGTCACCACGTTATGAAACGGAACCACTCGCGCGCTTCGCGCGCACATAGGCACTAGTGCGCCCCAGCCCTCAACACCAAAATAAATGTGCTTGTGTCCACATGCGCGTAATTAGGTATCGGCCATTGCGACCACAATGATAAGAGAAGACTCCGAAGACTAAGTGGAGAAGCCTCACCACAGGCCCCCTCTTGTTCTTCCGACTCCTTCTTCTATTTCTTCTTCAACTGGTCCTCCTCGACCTTTTCTTCCGCTTCCAACTCCTCTTCATCTCCCTTATTTCCACCGGGACCACCACCTCATTGTCCTTCACCTCCTCCTCCTTCTCCTCCTCATCCTCATCCTCATTCTCATCATCAGACTCATCCTCATCGGCATCCTCACCATTGCCCCCATCATCATCAACACCATCATCGTTATCATCAGCATCATCGTCATCATCATCATTGTCATCAGGATCATGGTCATCATCACCATCAGCATCATCATCGGAACCATCGTCATCATCATCGTCGCCATCAGCAGCATCATCCGCATCACAATAATAATAGGATCCGTTCAGCAGCATCATCCGCATCATCATCATGCTCAGCATCATCATCGTAATCAGCATCAGCATCATCATCATCAGCATCAGTATCATCATCATCATCATCATCATCATCATTAGTATTATCAGCATCGTTGTCGCCCTCAGTACCTAGCATCATCCTCATCAGCAGCATCACTGATATACGGTATGTCCGTTTCTCAGCTTGAGTGAGATATGGCAATGGTAACAATAAACGTCACGGCATGCATATCCGAGACCTACCCGATCAGCCCTCCTCGCCGCCGCGTCGAGCTCCCTCGAGTCTCGACCCAGGCGATCTCCGGGTTGCTCCAGCGAAGCTGAAAAGAAAACTCGCACGCCTCGCCACATGCAACCTCATAGAAAGCATGCCTGCACACACGAAAACAGTCGCCATGACACGGGCGACCTCCGACGAAAGTCACGCCTGCACCTCCCCTTTGCCCTCGGGCTCGCAAGCTAGGTCAGGCTCAAGAAAGTTGCCTGCGACCGCGAGAGAGAGGTCACACTTGCCCGCAGCCACAAAAAATCCCAGCAGTCCCAGCATCTCATCCAGCTCATTTTGCGCCAGATGCTTCGTGCCGAGATCTGCCACATTGACTTTGCCGAGCGTCTTAGAAAGGATGGCACGAGGCTCGATCACATGACGCTGGAGCCACAGAGTCTTCGTCTCGATGTGTCGGATGCGCCCCGCCCCTCGGCGATGCGCGCTCCCACTGGCCGCCGTGGCGTCGCCAGCCAACACACAACTCCAGCTCGCACCCCATGTCACGCGCCAGCGAGACCAGGCCGATCCCACAGGACGCTGCGTGCACTAGAGCATACCACTCGGCCTCACCTGAGCTGAGAGCTTCACTGCCCTGAGTCGCGCTGAAGACTTTGATCATGTGATCTCCCAGCTGGGAGACTCCGCAGCTCGTGCTCTTCCTGGTCTCCAGGCAGCCCGCGAAGTCACTGTCCGAGAAGCCCTTGAGCACACCTGACCAGCGCTGGCGTCGGAACCTCTGAACCAGTCCCGGACGGCCAAGGAGATACCTGGCAATCCTCTTGACTAGCTCCATGCCGTGCTCGCACGGCTCGTGCATGCACTTCGCTGCCTCTGTGACTGCGTGCTTGATGTCCGGGCGGTCCTCGCTGAGAAAGCTGGCTCGCATGACCAGGCTGCGGTAGCGAGTCGCCTCCTCGCCCTCCAGGACTCTGCCGCGATCCACACTCTTGGCCTCCACTCCTGGCGTCGAGAGGGCCTTCGACCCGCGCCAGAGGTTCAGCTGCTGCATCATGATGAGCGCATGGCGCGAGTCAGCCTCGAGCTCCACGTCACCTCTCGAGGTCCAACGGAAGACGCGGTTCAGGCAGACCACCTCCTGAACATCACCAGCATTCTTGTTGGGCCCCGACATGCCCTCGAGCTTGACCCACATGTACTTCTGCAGCTTGCGGTAGAACTCCAGGTTGTCGGTGCGGGAGCCCTTCAGCACGAAGTTGTCGCCGTAGACGTAGGCCGCGAGCTTGCCGTCGCCTCTTCGGTATATGCAGGGACACCACACGCCGCAGGAGAAGCCCATCTTGCCCTCCAGCGTCTCACGGACCAACAGCTCGAAGTTCTGGCCTGCGTCGCGGCAGCCGTAGAGGCACCTGACCAGCAGCCCGAGCACGTTGGGCTCAGCTGAGCGGGGGTCCTCCGCAGGCAGCTTCACCCACAACTGCCGCTTCATCTCGCAGTGCGGGTGAGCCCTCGTGATGTCCAGGAACATGAGGACGTGCTGGTCCTCCTCGGCGTTCCTGGGCGAGCAGCAGAAGGAAATCAACATCCTGAGAGCCTCATACGGGGGTGTCGCACTGAACGTCTGCGAGGGGCCCCCCAGGTCCATGCTCGTGCGGTAGCGCGTCTCCGCCACGCACAGCCTGCAGCGGACGGTGGGCTTGCGGTCGTCACCCTTGTTGACGTCCACCCAGATCATGGGCACCGGGTCGCGCCTGGTCTCCTCGCGGCAGCGCTGCTTGGCGTCGTGCACGTAGGCGCCCAGGCCGCGCAGAAACTCCATCTCCTCCTTGCGGCCAGCTGCCACGAGCTCGGGGTCCAGAGCGGCCCCGCCGATGTTGTCGACGATCTCCGCGTGGTACTCTGGGTAGGCGTCCCAGACCGGCGGCTCGTCCAGATGCGGCCCAGCCTCCAGCGCACCCAGCTGGCCGCGAGCAATCGCCTCACGACGCAGCCCACGCAGCACCGCAGCCACAAGCCTCGGTGGGTACCGCTCGATGATGCGCATGCCACGCCGACCTAGACCGACCGTCTGGCAATGCCTAGCACACCCAGGACACCGACGCGTCAGCTCTCGGGCTATCTCGGCAGAGTTGGTCAACCACCCCGTAGGCTTCTTGACCGGTGCCGGGCCGATGGCATCAGTGCACCACAACCCATGCGCACATTGATCGCACTCGACGTAGTGTACTCCTGGCATCTCGGCGACCTCTCGGATCATCCAGAGACGCCAACTCCTCGATGATGCTGGCTGCTCGTGCAAGAAGAGGCGGCCAGCTTTGACCTGCTCCTTGTAGCGCTCAGCACAGAAGACCAGGTGGACGACGCCTCGCTCCATGATGGCGTTGACGTCCACGCCCTGGATGACGTTAAGGGCCTGCAGGTTCGACCACGGCGCACACATCGGGCTGCCGGTGATCAGCAGTGGCTGCTCCAGTTCGATAGTGGCCAGCGCCCGCTGCCTGTCGCCCTCCTGGCTGAAATCGCAGCCGGTCCTGATGTCGTAGGCTGTGCCGGGCTCGAAATCGAAAGCACTCGACCGAGACGTGAAACGCCCTGGTCCGCACAGCTCGCTGACGGCCACCCTCCACTCGCCGAAAGCCGCCAGCAGCGCGCAGAGCTCCAGCGAGCCCGCGCCCATGGCACCCCCAGCTCCGGGCGGCGCCTGCAGAAGCCCGCCCGGCCCAGCAGCCTGCGCCTGCGGTGTGGCTGGCGCCTGCGCTGGCGCCCCCGGCTGCTCACCGCTGATCGCGGGCGCGAGGGGTGCTGGGCCACCTGGCGCCGCGAGGCGGCGCCTCGAAGCCTGCGGCAACTCCGCGGGTGAGCCTCGACGCGCAGCAGCTCGTCGGCCAGGTCGCCCAATCTCCATCGGCGCCTCGGCCGGGGCGGCTGCCTGCGGCAATGCCCCGGAGCCCGCGCCCTCCCGATTGACAGGCACCCTGTCAGCAGCCCCCAGCTGACGGGCCGCCGCTCCGAAGACGCGGGGGGCGAGCTCCGGGTCGTTCGCCATGGCCTGCTGGACGCGCTCACGGCACTCCGAGCTGTGGGCCTTGGCTGGTGCGTTGGTGCGGGCCGCAAAGCAGCCCGGGCACCTGTCTGTAAAACCGTGCTTGGCCAGCTCCACGTTCCTGCGAATGTATACGTTCCGAGGCCCAGCTGGAACCTGCTCTGGCACGACCCTCGGCTGCTGTGCAGCGGGGTCGACTGGGGGTTCGTCGATGACCGTCGGGATGCGGACGTTCTCTGGCTTGTCCGGGGTCGGCATCCACGGCGCGCCCCTGATCGAAAGCAACAGGGCTGCATCGGCCCGCTGGCTCGGCGGTCTCCTTCTGATAGACCGCGCACGTACGACCCTGCCGTCGTAGCCGACGAGCATCTCGCTCGACTTCTCGACGACGCCCAGGAAGACTCCAATCTTCCAGCGCCCCTCGAACTTGATGTCGCGCCTCGCACTCGGGAGGAACACGATGATCTCACCGAAAGGCGGCAGCACCTTGCGAAAGGCCTTGCCCTTGTGCCTCTCGTGCGGCGTCCGTCCATCGGCGCCGACCTTGCCACGATTGATGCATCCTGCAGCGTGGGCAACCAGCCAAGTCAACACTGGATGGTCGTTAGGGGTGTCTGTGCCGTGCAGCAGGGACAGGGCGACTCGCAGAGACCGCGCTACGCCCTTGACCTCCCTCACTGCTACCTCTGCCAGGCCGTCGCTGGCACCGTCGTAGGCCGGCGCCTCCTCGGGCACGACCTCGAACTTCAGATTCCTGAGGCGGATCGTCGCCTCTCGCTTGAGCGCCACCAAGGCACCCTCGCCATCAGACTTGTAGATGATCTTCGGGTGGCCGGTCGCCTCCACCTGGCTGAAGGCGCGGGCCACGTTGCACTCATGCTGGATGCCCTTGGACGGGAGGACGTCAGCGCTGACCCGCGAGGTGGCCGAGTCGATGCCGGACGAGGATGGGGGGCACGGACTGGCCCGACGCCACCTCCTCCCGCTTCACAAGGTATCCGTAGTCGACTGCAAACGTAGGTATAGCATGCGCTCTCCTAGGAGCGCCCGCTGGGTGACCATCGGCACGGCCACGCCCAGCCAGGCAGCAGTAGCACCAGTCTCTGAAGGGTACGTGACCTGCTGCTTCGCGTTGCTCGATCTCTGCCTGGGTAGGCTCCTTCGGCCCCCGTCGTGCTCGCACTGGAGCGGGCTGAGACTCGCGACGCTCCTCGACGTCACCCTCGAGCTCGATTGTACTTCCAACTCCGTCGTCCCCTGCCGCGGCGACTCCACCTGGCGGGGCAGGGCCACCTGCGGCTGGGCCGAGGTGACTCTCGATGGTCGCAACTTGTCCATCATCAACTCCATGAGGTACCACTCCTGTCATAGAAGCGACGCCATGCAGCGCAGGAGGTCCCACTGCTGGCGCCATCATAGCCGGTCTTACGGCAGCGCCTGCCGCCCGAAAGGGCACAAACGCTTCTTTTCCTGCAGCTTGTTGCAGCCACGGCAACCCTCGACCGAGCAGAGCGGCAACTCCCTCACGAGGGTCTGGGACATCTGGGTGACCTCCTTCGCTGGCACGATGCTCACGTCCACGTCCCAGGTACGCTGCCTCCGCGCGAAGCGGACGGTCTTACCACTCTCGATGTGGACAGCGTGGCTGATGTCGTTGCCGCGCTGGCCCTGCTCGAAGACCACACGACGGCCACTCTTCACAAGGTCGAGGACCGAGAGCAGCGGCCGCCTGACGCCCATGACACGGGCCCTGATGCCACGCAACGCGCCGCCGGTCTGCACCATGAGCTTGCGCTGGCCCTCGTCTGGGATCGGCTCACCCGTCGCACTGAGGTACTGCGCTCCCGACGGCTTCTCCGCGATCGGGTAGTCGGTCCCCAGCGAGCGCGGGATCGCCGTGACCGCCGCGCCTGAGTTGATCCCGAAGCGCACCGTCTCGCAGCTCGAGGACATGGTCGACAGGTCGAGCGCCGCCAGGAAGAGGCCGCCCAAGCCCTCAGGCGGCTCAGGCTCGCCCATCTCGCCCAGGGCGCCAGCCTTCTTGGCGACCGGGCAGTCCTTGGCCAAATGCGCTGTCGAACCACAGGTCCAGCATGGCCTCGGCTTCGGTGCATCACCAGCCGTGGCATCACCCTTGCCTCTGCCACGAGCTCGACCTCCACCGCCCTTCGGCGGTGCCTTGCCTGACGCAGCCGTCGAGGCCCACCAGCAGTCTCGCTTCCAATGACCTGTCTTGCCGCAGATCGGACACGGCTTGGTCGGCAGATCGTCGGCGCCTTTGCCCTTGCCGGCCTTGCCGTTCCTGCCCTTGCCGTTGCCGATCTTGCCGTTCTTGCCACCCTTGAAGCCGAGGGCCGCCAGCTGCCGCGCCAGGGAGTCGATGTCCATCGGGGTCGGGCCCGTACCAGCACTCGCCGTCGTCGCAATCTGGGCCCGCCTGAGGTTCTCGACCTCCGCCTTCACAAGCTCCCACGTGTTCAGCCGCTGGCTGTTGAGGAGCAGGTGGTGGCGCAGCGGGCCCTCCTTGAGTGAGCGGACCAGGATGTCTATCTTGATCTCGTCTGGGAACTCCGAGCCCACAGCCTGCTCGTAGCGCTTGACATTCCTGTCGAACGCGATCAGCTTCGAGGAGACGTCACCCTCGAAGTCCCACGAGAGCAACTCCTGCAAGAGCCCCGCCGCGCGGGTGCGGTTCTGAGGCTCGTGGAAGGTGACCAGGGTCATCCACGCCTCGAGCCCCTCGTTCACCCCCGCACTGACAATGCGGTCCAGCGAGAGCCCTTTGTTCAGCATGACCAACATGTAGTAGAGCTGGCTGCTGAGGCGCACCTGGTCGTCGGGCAGCGTCGCATTCAGCACCGGCGTGTCGGCGTGCTCGGCCCTGTCCATGGCATCCTTCAGGGCCGGCTCGCACGCGCTGGCGTAGGCTCGGAAGATCGTGCTCCAGCCACGCCAGGTCCCAGGCTCGCCGTTGAAGTCGTTCGGCTTGCCGAGGACCCTCGTGTCAATCAATATGTTCGTCTCCTGCGGCGGGCCACCAGGCTGGGCTGCTCGTTGCTGCTGCTCTTGCCCGCGAGCCTCCTGAGCCATAGCCTCTGCCGCCTGAACTCTGGCCTCGGCGGCCTCCGCCTGAGCTGCCAGCCGCTGGATGACCTGTTGCTGCTGCTGCTGCTGCGCCTGCGCGAGCGCCTGCTCGAGCTGGGCGAACCTGGCCTCGTCCATGCTCGTCGTTGGCCTCTCGGCCTCGGGCTTTGATGGCCTTGAGGGCCTCGCCCTCGCAGTGCCACCTGGCCCGGCGCAGCGCCAGCCGCAGCAGGCCTGTCACGATGATCGCCCAGTTCTCGAGCGGCGATCCCAGAACTAGCTTCCAGCCAGTCTCGTCTGCGGCTGCTGTGGCCGCACTGGCGCCTGTCACCAGCGCCGCGGAGGAATGCGCAGCGGTATCGCGGGCAGGCCGACCAACCTTGCTCCGCGCTACCATGATATACGGTATGTCCGTTTCTCAGCTTGAGCAAGATATGGCAATGGTAACAATAAACGTCACGGCATGCATATCCGAGAGCTACCCGATCACCCTTTATCATAATTCTTAGAATCAGCATCAGCATCATGGTAATCATCCTCAGCAGCATCAGCATCATCATCAGCATCAGCATCATTATCGTTCTAATCAGCATTATTGTCATCATCATACTTATACTCATCAGCATCATCATCACCAGCATCATCACCATCTCAATCATCATAGTCACGATCATCATCATCATCATCATCATCATCATCATCATCATCATCATCACCATCATCATCATCATCATCATCAGCATCATCATTATCATCCTGAGCATGATAATCATCGTCATCATCATAATCAGAATCAGCATTATCATCATCCGTATCATCATCATCGTCATTACCAGCCTCACCATGTCATTATCAACAACGTCGTCGTCATCGCCATCGCCTTCGTCATCGTCGTCTTCATCATGATGATGATGATCATTATCATCATCATCATCATCATCATCATCATCATCATCATCATCATCAGGGTCATCGTTGTCATCAGCATCATCATCACAATCATCATCGTTAACATCAGCATCATTGTCATCATCATCATATCTTGATCCTCCCCGACGTCGTCTTCGTTGCCTCCTCCTCCTCCTCCTCCTCTTCCTCCTCCTCCTTCTCCTCCTCCTCCTCCTCCCCATCCTGCTCCTCCCCACCCCCGTGCTCCTTGGGGCTGTTTTTTGAGCCTCCTCCCTTCGTCCGCTCGGACCTCCCCCCCCTGCCGCTCCGTGTCCTCGTCGCCCGCACCCCGTCCGCTCCTCTTCATGTGCGGGACGGGAAACATGACCACAGCCACTGCCTCTTGTTTGCGCCGCCTTCCAGCTGGCCGAAAAAGAAGCAGTGGTTGTGGTCATTTCCCTGGTGCCAAGCTCAACGAAAATGACCACAGCCACTGCTTTGTTTCTGCGGGCTGGAAGGCGGCTACAAAAGAAAAGCAATAGCTGTGGTCGTTTTCACGCCCGCCGACTCTCGGCGGTGGGCCCCCCCCACTCCTCCTCCGCGGCTGCTCTCCAGTGTCCCACCCGCCCCCACCCGCCCCACGTGTGGTCGTCGCCGTCCACACGTGGGCCCAACGATTTGCAAACAAACTCAAGTGGACCCAACGATGTGTGAACTCAAGTGGGCCCTCCAGGACCGTCTCGAAGGATTCGAAGGGCCATGATCTCTGAGCTCGACAGAACCGCAGAACTGCCCCAAGAAAGCCATCGACAATTCCCCGCAACTGACGAAAAGGTGAGTTTTCGAATGATGGGCAACTCGTGGGAGCCTCCTATACCATCTTGTCGGCTCTTGCGAATCGACGATAATCGACGCTAGTCGACGCTAACCGACGGTAAATCGACGCGAATCGACGCTAACCGACGCTAAATCGGCGCTATCTCATTGACTCTCAAACGCTGATCGACGCTGAAGACGGCATTAAGAGGGTAGGCAAGGCTCCGGGTGGCAAACTAAGCAATCGCCGCGTCGCGAAGATCTGGCTTCTCCGCTCTCTTCCGTGTCGTGGAGTTGGTACTGCCCTGGGGAGAGTAACGCATCAACCGTGGGGTTGCCGAGAAGTGTCAGGGATCCTTGGCGTGGCCCCACAGGAAATTCAAGCGACGACAGTGGGTACCGCACAGTCTCGTGGAGGGAATTGCCAGCAGAAGTGTGGACGATCTCTTCACTCTGCATGCTCCCCACATGAGACAGATCTCCCAGGAGGTTTTCGGATAGCAACGACAATCGACATCGTACATCCTCTTGGAGGCAATCGCCAGCAGAAGGGTGGGCGATGCTCCCCAACATACAATACATTTCCCAGGAAGATTGGGGATATGCCCAAGATTCGCATCGACGTTCCCGAAACATCTCCGCGAATGACGTGGCCGCCAGAAGTTTTGGTGGCTTCTTGGGGTTTCTCGGGAGGCCTCCAGGGAGCATCTTGGAAATACTTGGAGGGCCTCGGGGGGCATCTAAGAAGCCTCTTCGGGCATGTGTGGCGTATTTGGGGCCTCTTGGGGACCAGCTGGCGATGTCGGCCAATCCGGGGCCCCTCTCGGGGGTCTGTTGGGGGCGCATTGGGCCCTTTGAGGGGCTTTTTTGGTTTCTCCACCATAGCTGCGGAGTCTAATAAAACTGTCCCGCCCTCAGTGAGGCATCCGACTCACCTCTGCCTGGAACCTCGGCCTACTTGATCAGCGGGTTGGCGAAAAGCAGCACCAGCGCAATGACGAGCCCGTAGATCGTCAGCGACTCCATGAAGGCGAGGGACAGGAGCAGAACCCCGCGGAGGTCGTCGGCGACCTCGGGCTGGCGGCTGATGCCGTCGATGCAGCGGCCCGAGGCGATGCCCTGGCCGACGCCCGACCCGATGGCGGCGAGGCCGATGGCGAAGCCCGCGCCCACGGCAGACAGCGCTGGGATCCACACGCTCGAGCCCTCCGCCGCGTAGGCCGCGGGGGGCGCCGCGAGCGCCGCCGCGCTGAGCGCCGCCGCGGGGACGGACTGCGCCGCGGGGCGGGGCGCCAGGGGCGAGGGCACGAAGGCGGCCATCAGGGCGGTGCACGCGAGCAGCACGGACGCGGTCAGGACGGCGGAGCGGGGCGACGCCATGTCGGTGGAGTGGCAGCAGCTCTTGCGAGACTGGGGCGTGCGCGCTCTGCGATGCTGAGGCCTGAGCGGAGATGGCTGCGGACCCTTCGGAGGGGCCTCTGGGGCCATCCTGGGGCCCCATCTGGGCCCTCGGGGGCCTGTTGGGTCGCCCTGGGCCGATCTTGTGGGCATCTTGGGTCGTCATGGGCGGTCGGGAGCCGAACATCGAATCATGTGGGCCCTGCCGGGATGCACAAAGACGTCCGTGCAGACAGCTGGCAGCATCAGATCGCCGGGGCACAGGAAGCGAGCCGGATCGGGCTGGCCGAGAGCCACATCGAACCAGATCGGTCGGATCGGAAATGGGCCCTGCCTGGGCCCCGGCTGGCCGAGAGCCACGTCGAACCAGATCGGTCGGATCGAACATGGGCCCTGCCTGGGCCCGCTCTCTGGCGGAGAAGTCTGAGTGCGCCCGCGCCGGGACCAAGCCCCGGCGCGCGAAGGCAGTCGCGAGACCATACGCTCGGCCCTACCCTCGCCCTCTCCTCGCCCCCCGGTGTCCTGCCATGAGCTCGTCGGCGACGAGCGAGGCGACGACGACGACGAGGTCAACAACGACGACGACGACGACGACGACGACGACGACGACAGAGGCAGCGGCGGCGGCGGCGACGAAGACGACGACCTTAACGACGACGACGACGACGACGACGACGACGACGACAACGAACTCAACGACGATGACGACGAGCTCCATGAACACAACGACGATGACGACGACGACGAAGACGGCAAAGACGGCGGCAGCGGCGGCTGGCGACGCCGACGAGCTCGGCGGCGACGACGACGACCACCCCGCCAAAGCAGGTCCTTCGGCGGACACGGCACCTCGGCCGGCTTGCCGCCCGGCGGCACCCCGCCGTCGCCTCGCCAGCGGGGCACCAGGCAGGAGGCCACGGGCCGCCGCCGCCCCCGTCGTCGTCTTCGCCGCCGTCCTCGCAGGTTTGGGCCGCCGTCGGTTCTGCCAGAGGAGGACAAGGCAGTGATACCGCTACCGGGGGATCGACCAGAGAATTGATGTACCCCACAGCTGGTTCGTTCGTCGAGCCTGTGATAGCCGAATCTGCAGGATGCTCGCACATCTACGGAGCATTCCACGTTTTTCTGTAGATTCGACGGACAATCCATGTCTGGATACAGTAGAAGCTCGACCACAAGGAACCTTCCACAAGAGACCCAACCCTGGGACCCCAGGACGTCCATTGATTTCGGTGTGGGAGCGTCACGCCTTCCACAGCGAAACCATCGAAACCCAAGAAACCCAGGGCACCTTGGAGGCAAGCAGGGTGTTTCTTGGCATGGGTCTCCACTGTAACGATGTTGGAACCTTCTGGGTTGTCCATTCTGGGTAGCTTGGAACCCAACTTGGGCCTCCAGACGGAGGTCAAACCGACCCCCACGCAGGCCCAGAACGGATACAAGCCCGGGATGGATGCAATTCTTGAACAGGGACAGACCGTCCTGGCATTCCTGCAGGCCTGCCACGACATGTTCTTAGAACCCAAAAATGTTCTAATTACACCAGAGAAAACCCAAATCAGTGGATGGTTCGAAAATCAGTGATTTGTGATATGGATACTGAGATCGATTGTGAGATCGATTGTGAGATCGATCGTGTAATCGAAAGTACGTACGATAGTAAGGTCGATGGTGGGAACGATAAGTTAGTGCAGTCGATTCAATGAGATCGATAATGCCATCGATCATGAGATCGCTTATGCAATCTACAATGAAATCGATTGTGATATTGAAAGTGACATCGATTGTGATAGTCAGATCGATTTTGATATCGAAAATAAGACCGATAGAGAGGTGGGTTATGAGATCGATGGTGAGGCCGCTCGATCAAGAAATCGGCCAGGAACCCGGGAACCCGGAAACCCTGGAACCCCGCCGCCCATCGAAATCGGCCCGGACCCCTCAACCGGGAAACCGGGAAACCGGAACCAGGAACCCGGGAACACGGCGGCCCACCGAAATCGGCCATCCATTTTCGCCAAATCCTTCAAGATCCGCTAGGACCCCTTCAGTGCAAGCACTGATTCGGGAATAACAACAACAATCACAACAAGAAAAAAAAACCCAATCAGTGAATGGTTCGGAAATTAGTGATATGGATCTTGATATCGATTGTGAGATCGGAAGTGGGATCGACCGTGGGATCGATAGTGAGGACGATAGTAAGGTAAATCGTGGGACAGATAGTGAAGTCGATTCAGTGAGATCGATAATGAGATCGATCGTGAGATCGCTTGTGCGACCTGTAGTGGGATCGATTGTGAGATAGATAGTGAGATCGATTGCGATTTCGATAGTAAGATCGATAGAGAAGTGGGTAATGAGATCGATGGTGAGGCCGCTCGATCAGGAGATCGGCCAAGAACCTGGGAACCCGGAAACCAGCAAATCCCGCCGCCCACCGAAATCGGCCTGGAACCCGCAGCCGGGAAACCGGGAACCTGGAGCCAGGAACCTGGGAACCCAGCGGCCCACCGAAATCGGCCGCTCACTTTCGCCAAATCCTTCAAGATCCGCCAAGACCCCTTCGGTGCGAGCACTGATTGGGGAATGTCATTAGAACAGAAGCCCGATGTGCTAAAGCAAGACAGTCTCAGCCAGAAATTGTCTGAGAACGTTTCGTGCAGACCACGATTCTTAGAACATTCTTTGGTGGCCCAATAGGCAAGCCCGGACGCTTCACCACTGCTCGAAATTCGGTCGGGGTCGGGCCCAGCACGGGGATGCTCGCGTTGGGGCCGTCTAAAAGCCCTCCTGGGCCCCCTCCGGCCTTTCTTCGTACCTGTAATGGCTCAATGGCTTCCGAAGCCGGCTTCGGGGCGCTTTGACGGTCTTGGGGCCGTGAACGCGAAGCGCCCCGAGAATCGAGGGTGCCTCTCTAGCTCGCAAGCGGGCCGTCCCCCAAGATCGCCCCAAGACAACCCAAGAGGCCTCCAAGAGGGCCACAAAAAGACCCAAGAGGGCCCCTAGACGGCCCAAGAGGCGCCCAAGACGGCCAAAGAGGACTCAAAGACGGCTCCAAGAGGGGCCCAGATGGGCGACCCGAACGGACACTTCGAACCCTCGCCCCGAGGGGCTTCAAGGGAGCCCCAACAGGCTCCCAACAGGCTCCAAGAGGCCACAAGATGCCCCCAAGTGACCCCAAGAGGCCCCCAAGAAGCCCGAGGCTCCCAATTGGCTCCAAAACTGCTCCCAAGAGGCCCCCGAGAGCGCTCCAAAAAGACCCGAAGAAACATCCCTCAGAACGCTGACACACAACCCAGGCACGGTGGCATGAACATGACCATCATCATCATCATAATCATCATCATCATCATCATCATCATCATCATCATCATCATCATCAGCAGCAGCAGCAGCAGCAGCAGCAGCATCAGCATCAGCATCAGCATCAGCATCAGCATCATCATCCTCATCATCATCCTCATCCTCATCATCATCATCATCAGCATCATCATCGTCATCGTCATCGTCATCGTCATCAGCATCATCATCGTCATCATCATGATCATCATCAGCATCATCATAATCAGCATCATCAGCATCGTCATCATCAGCAGCAGCAGTATCATCATCATCATCAGCAGCATCACCATCAACATCATCACCATAATATTCATCAGCATAAACATCAGCAGCATCACCATGAGACAATTCGTGCTACTCATCAGGATCATTACCGACAGCATCATCAGTATCATCACCACCGTCATCATCATCATCGTCATCAGCATCAGCAACATCATCATCATCATCATCATCATCATCATCATCATCATCATCACCTCCGTGGTCCACATCATCATCAGCAACAGAAGCATCAGCATCATCGGAATCATCATCATTAGCATCACCATCTTCAGCAGCATAATCCTCATCATCATCATCAGTATCATCACCACTGTTCTCCGTCACCCAAAGTGCTGGGCCTGCAGCGGCGGGACTGGCCGCGGGCAGCTGGATATCCTATACATGTCTGTGCAAACGTAGTGTTGTAGGGGAGGAGTGGAAGCGGACACGAATGCACCATAACAAGCAACGCGACATCGCTGCTCTCGTCATCGCCACCGTTCTCTTCATCATCGTCAGCGTTATCATCGGCATCATCGTCATATTCATCATCGTCGTCACCACCAGTGCTATCGGTATCGTCGCCATCTCATCAGACTTCCTGAAGGAATCCATCAGAAATCTTGAGGGATCCCCAGGAGCCCCCAGGCATCCTTCATACAACCCCAGGAACGTTCAAGAACCCTTAATGCACCCACAGGAATCCCTAAGGAACAGTTTTGCAGGAAACCCGATGAACCATTCAAGCATCTGAAGGAAACCCTCGGGAATATGTCGGGCATGCTTCAAGAACCCTCAGGTATTCTCAGACACCCACACCCTCAAGGATCCCCAGGAAAGAAAGAAACAAAAAAAGAAAACGGATTCCTCACTGGAATCCTGTAGGGACCCTCTGGAAGTATTCAGCCATCTCCTACAAACGGCCCTAGAATGCTGTAGGAATGTGAAAGAATCGTATTCAAACCCCAAAAAAACTTGTTGCCGAATTCTCTGGATCCCTAGCCACGTACCCGCTGGAATATTCTGGGCCCTTCCCCCAGGGATATGTCTGGGATCCTCCGTCAGGACACTCAGGACTCCATCAAGACTCCTTCCCTCAGGAACCCTCAGGAAACTGTCTGGAATCCTTCGAGGATCGCCAAGCAACCCGTTCAGAACCAGCAGGAATGCTCTGGGATGTTTCGGGAATCATCGGGATCCTCAGCAGGAGCCCTCAAGAATCCTGCATGCCTCATTGAAGGATCGTTCAAGGATCATCCAAGAATCCTTCAGGAATCATTCGGGGACCCTCTGGAATCCCGAGGGCTCCTCCAGGAATCCCCAGGAACCCTCAGGCATCCTCAGGAATCCGCAGAAGTTCCTCCAGAACCCAAAGGAAGCCCAAGGAATCCCCCAGGATCCACAGGAAGCCTAAGGAATCTGCAAGAATCCGGTGGAACCTATAGAAGCCCACGGGGATCCCGAGGATCCCTCAGGACTCTGTTAAGAATCGATCGGGAACGCTTCAGAGATCCTTGGGAAACCTTGAGGAAGCCGAAGGAACCTCAAAAAAACTCGTAGAACACCCAGAAAAATGTTCAGGAGTCGAAGAGAATCCTCGGGAACCCCCCGACATCTCTCAGGAACCCACAACAATCTGCCAGGAACCCGCGGGAGTCCTTCAGCAAGCGGAATAGGAATCCGCAAGAATCCTTCAGAAAACCTATGGGGTCCCCCGAAATCCCTCAGGAAGCCTTCGGGCACCCTCTCAAGGAATCCCCCAGACATCCGCCAGAAATCGTTCAGGAATCCTTCAGGAATCCTCAGGCCTCCTTCAAAAAAACTCAAAAATCCAACAGGAACCCCTCGCCATCTTGAGGAATCCTCCGGAATTCCTTAGGACCCCCCAGACTACCGAAAGGGCCTTCTTACACCAACACAAACAAGGCCCCCTCCGGGGGTCTGTTAGCGAACATGTCCATCAACAACAAAAACAGCAACAACGACAACAACCACAACAACAACAACAGCAACAACAACAACAACAACAAGGGTCTAGTTCAAATCAACGGCAACCTTCTCGCTTTCTTGACAGCAACAAGACTCGCACGCCTGACTTGTATGTGCGCGACGGCGAAGCGAGCTTTCTTTGGAAAGGATTCCTTAGTAAAGAGCCCTTCCCGAAGGATTCCTTCATAAGGACTCCTTGGTAAGGATTCCTGGCTCGACACTCCCTTCTCAATCATCTTTCATAACGATAAAGATTCCTCAGCAAGGAACCCCTGGTAAAGATGCCTCA